ACGTAAAAGCACTTTCCCTGCCTTGTTTGTTAGGCATTAGTTAACGCAGTGACAACTTCGCTCCTGCTTTGCTTTCCCTTAGCATCCCTAGACCTACTCAGCATTTGCTCTAGGTTGCAGGGCGCCATCAGAAATAAGCCACCGTGGCTTCATTTCAGAAGAGAACTGGCTGGAAGCTACGAGAGGTAGAAAAGGGCCACCCCAGGAGCGGGGCCTACATCTGTCCGTCTCTCTAAAGGAGAATATTTGCAGCTCCGTGTTGAAATGAAAAGTCCTGGGTGCTCTCTGAGCTGGGTGGTTTTCCTGCAGACGTTTCAGGACCCAACTAGGGGACACCATCAGCTCTAGAAGAGTGTGGGGTTTGGGTGGGGGAGGAGGAGGAGGAGGAGGGATGAAGGAGAATGGGGAAGAGAGGAGGAGGAGGACTGTGGGGTCCCTGGTGCTCTCTGAGCTGGGTGGTTTCCTGCTGACGTTTCATGACCCAACTAGGGAACATCATCAGTGCTAGAAGGGAGGTGGGTTTGCAGAGAGGAGGAGGAGTAAGGAGGAGGTGGACTGTGGGGTCCTTGGTGCTCTCTGAGCTTGGTGGTTTTCTTGCAGATGTGTCATGACCCAACTAGGTAACATCATCAGTGCTAGAAGGGAGTTAGGGTTTGTGGAGGGGAGGGAAGAAGGAGGAGGAGGGATGAAGGAGAATGGGGAAGAGTGGAAGAGGAGGAGGAGGAGGAGGACAACTCTGAGATCTTTCGTGCTCTCTGAGCTTGGTGGTTTTCTTGCAGACGTCTCATGACCCAACTAGGTAACACCATCAGTGCTAGAAGGGAGCTAGGGTTTGTGGGGGGAGGGAAGGAGGAGGAGGAGGGATGAAGGAGAATGGGGAAGAGAGGAGGAGGAGGAGGAGGAAGAGGAGGAGAAGGAGGACTGTAGAGTCCTTGGTGCTCTCAGAACTCGGCTGTTTCCTTTGCAGACGTTTCATGACCCAACTAGGGAACACCATCCGTGCTAGAAGGGAGTGGGCTTTGCAGAGAGGAGGAGGAGGAGGAGAAGTTTGGGGTCCTTGGTGCTCCTCCTGTCTGTCCCTCTCCTAAAAGGAGGTCTCTGTTAGTTGCCCTGCCTTCCTGGCGATTTGGAGAGCAAGATTGTTTTTGTTCCTTACGCTGAAGGCGGGCTGCTCTTTTTTAATAGATATCGAAGCATAGCGCCCTATTATTTCCCCCCCCCCCCGTTTAATTACATGCCCCATTAAAGTGAGCCGCTGATCTATCCAAATGAAATATCGCTGGGGAAAAAAACGTGGCCTTTCTTTCCATCCCTCTTTCGCTCTGGGGGTCTTGCGCGAGTCCCGTTCGGCGCGAAGGAAAAACGCCTTGCAACCGGCGCCCAAGCGCCCGGCAGAAAGGCACAGCTGGGTTGCCCGTTCAAATCCTCGGAAGACCAGAGCGAGCTCTGGGCGAATAAGGAGCTCCGGAGAATGAATTTTAAAAAATAAAAA